CGTCCTTTCAACCCTAATATGATAGTTAATCTCACTATTCAGTGTGACAACATTAGCTCAAGAGCTAGAATAATATGGAGACTATTACGAGTACAAAAGTGGTCATGAGGTCGGGCGATTCGACCGACTACATTATGAAGGAGTTGATAACTATTAATTAATTAGATGATTAATATGTGAATAATAATTATTAGTTTGAATATTAATCTACATATCATTTATATATCCATATTATTTACATATGACGTGATCCCCTCCCCCACTTCCACCTCCATAGTGCCCTTATAACTACTAGGAAGTTTTGCAGGTGCAAAAGTGTGTAGCGGGTGTAATCACACCCTTTAAATTGCACCAATATGCATATAAAATATATTTTCATTATTTTTCCAAAAGTAGCGCCCCTTTGTAAATTCCTAGTTTTGCCCTTGCTTGATGTGCTAGTTATTGTATCGTAAATAGAAAAAATCCATAGTATCGTGAATAGACAAAATATAAACAATTTACAAGAACAAAGTAAGAATTAAAACTGTTTAAATACATTTAAGTTAAACTAGATTGAATTGAACGCAACTCCACCTCTCTCTCGATTAATAACATTAACGCTGTTTAACCAAATATATGTAAATTATTTTCTTATAGCAAAATTTACATCACAAAAAGTTGCATAGTTTGTCTGATAACTTTCAATTTTTGGTTCACAGACAGAAGTCGAGAGAACTCGCGGGCTACCTCATCCTTCCTCTTTGACCCCACATTCCGGAGTTGACAGTAGTGACACCTCGCGTATTAAAGCATCAGGTTTCAGAAGTCCTTTTGTACATCCTCATGAATCACATCTTCATTCTCAGCTCACTAAACCAGCTCAGTATTCTGTGCTGCAGGCTAATCCAAACATGTTAGCCTCAAAGACGTCACAAGCCTCAATTTCACCAACACGAATCAAAATCTTAAATGGTGGCACATGTGGAGTACAACCATCCAGTTTCTCGTTACAAGGTGGCTCCATCAATCGGGGCAAACAGCAATTACAAATGTTTACATCCGACACGCCACCATCAAACTCCAAAAATATTCACCAGGTGGTAGCTTCTAGTGGTATTTTAACAAATGGTAAGAATTTATTTCTTTTTAAATTCACTGCAGGTAACCTTTATGAAACGCCATTATGATAAAATATATAATGTCTTGCACAACCAAAAGCAGATATTTTGAATTTGTCTTAACACTTTAAAATAATTGTTCACAAAAATATCAATACATAATTTAAAATAAAAAGAAATGTGAGATCTTGTCTATCACTTCAAAGAAGTCCATACGTGTCTGAAAAAAAAATATACAACTGATTAGGTGTTTTCAGTTTGCACTTTAAATAAACTTTTTTTTTTCGCATGAATTAAATAAAGTCCATGATGGATTCTTAAAGTTATACAAGATCTGTCGACAACAAATATCGGTCAGCTATTTTTCAAATTGTCGCTTGGTTTTTATAACATTACTTTATTTCACCAACAGGTCCAACTGATCTAACCATTAAGAAGACTTCCATACCACGGTATACTCTGAATCCGAATGAAACCAGCGCCGTTAAACAGCTTATTGCCGGCTACCGCGAATCGGCAGCCTTCTTGCTGCGATCAGCCGATGAACTAGAGCAACTATTAACGCAGAAAAATTAACAGCAAACGTTTTAACAATCACTACCTTATTTCTGCTCTTTTATAGTCTGAAAGTGGGGAATTTTGAACTATTTACATGTCATGCAAGTTCTCTCTATAGAAAATGTAAAAAAAAGTTGCCTTTTCTGAAGTATGGACACGTTACAGACTCTTTTCAATCTTTGAGACGGACAACTCAAGTAACCCTCTAGTCACATCTAGTCACCCCTGAAATATGGGGTTGTTTCTCTCTAGGTTTCCAATCTTTAAGACAGACAACTCAAGCAACCCTCTAATCACATTCCATGTTCCCCTTGAATATGGGGTTGTTTCTCTCTAGCTTTCCAAGCTTTAAGACGGCAACTCAAGCAACCCTCTAGTCACATCTAGTCACCCCTGAAATATGGGGTTGTTTCTCTCTAGGTTTATTTGTACTATAGTAAAGAAATAATTGATTTTTGAACACTAGAAACAACATAATTTATTAATCATGTTTTTGTTATTTTTATGACAAGCTGTCTTATTGAGTTTTAAAGTGCTAATGGCTACGAACGGGTATATTTATACATATGTGTGTGTGTGTGTATTGCACGAAAATGACGACATAATGATAATAAATGACGTTAAAAAACATGACTATAAATACAGTAAGCTTGTTCACATTTCTAATTTACCGGCGTAGTTAGTCAAGCAAAAAATTAAACAATAAAACAATTACATTACCAAAAGTGCAATCCTGTTCAATTATGAATTATAATTTAATTGTTATTCAATAGTTTGTAATGAAACAAAACCCCATTTAGGGGCGCTACGCCAACAAAACTTGTTTTAATTAATTTCAATAGTCGCATTTTATATCATGAGAAATAATAAGTCCAGATGCTATTTTTAAAGCGACATCTGGTTTTTTTACAAAATATTAGCTATATATAAAATAGTTACTCAAAAAGGCTACACTCTATGAACATCTGTTCATTAAAAAAATTTTAAAATTCATTTCGCGCTTCATGATGTTGTGTTGTTCATTCATACAGATCTTGTGCTTTTTATATCGCGATAGAACAAGAATCGTCAATAACAAATATCGTTTTAAGACTGGCTAAACATGTATTTATAATTTCATAACAAAATATCAGAGTGATAGTTAAAAAAAAATAAACTGTATATTTTGTATTTGTCTAATGGTTTCCGATTTTTCATAGGCTTAGGAAAAGAGAAAAAGTCGGAACATTTTTGCTAAAATATATTAGTAAACATAGGGTAAAGAATTAATACAACTGTTGTTAACATAGTAGATAAAGATTTTTGTAAACAAAAAACGAGCGTATGAGAACGTTCAGAATGGTAATAAACCTAACGCTGCTTCAAAAACCTTTGAAGCACAACTGAATATCAAAAAATAGCATGGCTTCATTCTATAAAACCGGGTTAGTAAATAGAAGATTTGGGTGGACGAAACTTCGACAGCTAGGTGGCTTTTATAAAAATGTTTATGGTCCACTAATATACGTGTGAGCTGTAATTTTAACAGCAAATTAAAAAGTTATTTTTATAACGTTCATTCTTGGTAAGGCCCACTTTTATTACAACGTTTTGAGTAATTTTAGGTTTCTACCTGTTACAGCACTCAGTGTGAAGAAATTACTAAAACACTGGTTGAAGAAATAACTCTTTTCTAGGCATGGACAACAACAAC